AAAGGCAAGATTTTAGGATATCTACAAATAGATAAATCTATAGGGGGGACTGCTGAAGAAAACTAGAAGTCACAAATGGTCAATTTTAATAGAACCAAGAACAAAAATCACATGATTATCCCAATATATGCAGAAAAAGCTTTTGACAAAGTCCAACACTCATTCATGATAAAAAGCCTACAGAGAATTAGGATAGTCTATATCTCAAACTGATCAAAGCCATCTATGAGAAACCAATAGCCAACATCATACTAAATGAGCAAAAGCTGAAGGCCTTCACTTTACTATCAGAAACAAGACAAGGATGTGCACTGTCTCCACTCTTATTTCATATAGTTCTGGAAGCATTAGATGAAGCAATTAGACAAGAGTGAGAAATAACACGAATAAGGATTGGAAAACAATAAGTGAAATTATCATTATTTTCACATGACATGATACTCTACATAGAGGACTCCAAAAATCCCATCAAGTCTTGTAGATTTAACCACCAAATTCAGCAACGTAGGATGATTCAAAGTCAATAACATCCTTTCACAATAACATCCAAAAAAATGAAATAGTTAGGAATCAATCTCACAAAGGATGTAAAAGATTTGTATAGTGAAAAATACAGTATTCTGAGAAAGGAGATTAAGGAGAATTTGAAAAAATGGAAAAGTAGTCCATGTGCCTGGATAGCAAGAACAAACACTGTGAAAATGGCAACATTTTGTTATACAGATTCAATGCAATCCTAATTAAAATACAATTCATATACATCACAGAGCTAGAGAAAACTTTCCTCAAATTCATTTGGAACCAGAAGAGTCTCAGAATATCTAAAGCAGGGGACCAGGGAGAAGGCTCAGTGGAATAAGCACTTCCCTGGTAAGCACAAGGGCCTGAGTTCAATCCCCGGTTCTGCCAAAAAAAAAGAATATCTAAAGCAATCCCGGGAAACAAAGGAAAGGCAGGAGGTATAACTATCCCTGAACTGAAATTATAGTACAAAGCTACTGTGATACAATCAGCATGGTACTGGCATAGAGACAGACCTGAGAATCAATGGAACAAATTAGAAGATGTAGACACAATTGCAAACATACTCAGCCATCTTATCTTTGGTAAAGGGCCCAAACATGCCCACTGGAAGAAAGATAGCCTTTTTAATAAATGGTGAAGGAAAAACTGCCTTTCCACATGCCAAAGGCTAAAACCAGATCCATACTTATAACCATGCCCAAAGCTACAGTCAAAATGGATCAAAGATTTAAATATTAAAACAGAAATACTAAATCTTCTGGAGGAAAATGTAGGTATAAATCTTTAAGACATAGGGGTAGGTAGAGAGTTCATGACCAAAAATGAAACTGCACGGGAAATACTTCATAGAATCAACAACTGGGATCTCATCTTTTTGAAAAGTTTCTGAACTTCAAAGCAAATATAAAACAATAAAAAGAAAACCCCAAATCTGGGAAAAAGTTATAACTGACTGTCCCTCTAACAAAGGCCATCCAGAACATATAAAGAATTTTATTTGTGTATTTATTTTTTTATTAATTTTATTGAGAAACAAATAGCAATAAGATAGTTTCAAAACCGATTAATAGGACAGTTTCAATAATTAATACATTGCATATTGCTGTCTTCATAGTGGTTATTCATAGTACAAGATGTAGACATGATATTCTGTCTAGACACTATTAGTACAAATCTTTCTTCTTATTGAATTAAGAGAAAGTAGCTGGAGAGTGCAGGCTGGGCGAGTGAGTGAGACGACCCAGGGCCCTCCAGATCCTGAATAGACCCAGAGCACAGGCCCGGAGAGTGAGTGAGCCGACCCTGGCCAGAGGGATCTTGAATAGACCAGGAGCACAGGCCTGGCGAGTGAGTGAGATGACCCAGGGCCCTCCGGATCCTGAATAGACCCAGAGCACAGGCCC